CCTCACCCCCCTCCCCCTCGACCAATATTCCCCCCCACCCCCACTCCAACCGCTTCCCTGTCACTCCTCCCACGTTGTTGTCACCCCCTCAGTCACCAACCCGAAACCTGTCAAACCCCAGTCACCGTGACCCATTTCCCACCAGTCCCCGCACTGACATACCCCCCCCACCTATCCAGTCAGTCACCCACCAAACCCCACGCACACCCACTGTTGATTGCGGCTCAGTTTCCACGGTCTGTTGCCTCACAAACAAGATTTCTTTTCGCCTGTGCCGTTATAATTTGTAAACAATACAATCTCTATAAAGTTAAAACTATAACTTTATTCTGGGATATGGGTGTCACTGACAAGGCCAGCCTTTGTTGCCCATCTCCCTTTATTGCAAAAATATACATAATTTATGAATCTCGATTAAATTTATGAATAATCTAATAAGTAAGTAGAAAGTTCAAAATTGTTCCATTACTGATTTTGCAACTTGAATGACCTGCTGAGGTCACTTCAGAGGACAGTCAACACATTGCTATGGGTTTCTAGTCACAGGTGGGTTAGACTGGGTATGAATGGCAGAATTTCTTCCCTGAAGGACTGGATAAGTAGTTAACAACGATTGATAATAGTTACTATGGTCACCGTTACTGAGCAAGCCTTCAATTTCAGATTTATTAATTGCATTTAAATTCCACCAGCTAGCATGTTGCCATTAGATTAGCTGGGGCCTTGGGATTACTGGTCTTTTGGCATTAACTGCTGGGTTCTGATTATAAATGGTACAGATTTGATATAAATTGACAATTTATCTGGTGAACACAACTAGTTGCTGCTACTATCAGTAGAAGTGGTATCTGGGGGTGCTGTTGTGGCAAAGTGGTAGTGTCCCTACCTTGGACTGGGAGGCCCAGGTTCAAATCCACCCCCTCCAGAGATGTGCAATGTCCTCTACAGACAGGTTGATTAGAAAAGTAGGTTAAGTTTTTTTTTAAAAAATGTGGAAGTGGGATCAGCAGTAAGGCCTTAAAAAGAAGAGAACAATAACTAACTACCCTTCCTAGACATAATGGTAGAACGTAAGAACAACAGGGAACTTCAGACTAGCATATACAGGAAGACCACACATATGGACCAGATATTTAACTACTCCAGCAAACACCCATAAACGGAGCTACATCAGAACATTATTCAAATGAGCCACAACACACTGCAGCAACCCGGAACTGTGCAAAGCAGAACAGAAGCGCTTGTACAGAGTTTTTAAAAGAAATGGATATTGAAAAAGCACAATCTGCCATTACCTCTGTTACAGACCACAACAAGAAGACACAACACGGCCAGACACGCTACACACCCTACTGTACATCAGAGACATATCAGAGATGACCACAAGACTACTCCGACCCCTGGGTATCAGTGGCCCACAAACCAACAACCACCCTGTGACAGCTACTGATGAGCTACCCACAACCACTAAAACAAATGTGATATACAAAATACCATGCAAGGACTATGAGAAACATTACATCGGCCAAACTGGAAGTAAGCTGACAATAAGGATACATGAACAATAATTAGCTGCCAAGAGTCATGACCAATTCTCACTGGTCTCAATACACATGGACAAAGAAGGACTCGACTGGGACAACGCAGCCGTAATAGCACAAGCCAAACAGAAACATGTCAGGGAATTCCTGGAGGCCTGGCATTCCAACCGGAGCTCCATCAACAAACTCATCGAACTGGACCCGATGTACAAACCACTGAAAAACACAACTATAAGTAATGCCAACCACCCCAGCAAATTGAGGCATAGAAATAACAAGCAGGACAGAACACCAACGCTTCAACGGAGGCGCACTGACGATGTTACCTAGCAGGGTGACAAAACGTCTGCAACCAAACACACCGGCTAAGTGAGAAAGTCTACAACATCATGCGCAACCCGAGCTACAAATCTTCTCAAAACAAACCTCAAAATTCATAAACTACTAAGAGAACCTGTAGCCTTAACACCTCATACAGTTCATCTGTAGCTGAACTATTGGTCCAAAGCAACAATAAAAACTATTCAATTGTATGTACTCTTCGTTTAGTTTACTTTCTAAATTTCAGAAGAATTATCTAGGGTTATTCAAGCCAATTGAAATGCAGAAAATGAATGCTAAATGTCAATAGGATCACATATAAGAGTTCGTATAAACATGCTTTGTAGAAAATGCCTACCAGTCAAGAATATTATATTTCAGTTTGGACTGTTTCCTTACCATTTGTATGGCAGATTTTTGTTTTGAAGAAGTGAGATCTTGAAGCTATTTACCTCCATGTTAAACAGGCTTTTGTGAGTTTCCACTCATAGTTTGTGCTGAGATCAACAAGTCTGTTGTACGTTCATAGTTGGATTATGGTAGATGACACATTTGGTCCTTAAGGGCATTGTGGGTCAACTCACAGCAGGTGGACTGCAGCAGTTCAGAAAAGGCAGCTCACCACCACCTTCTCAAGGGCAATAAATACTGGCCAGCGACGCCCATATACCACAAAAGGATAAAGTAAAAAAAATGCTTTGTCCAGTTTTTATTCAGTCAAAATAACATCATATTTGAATTAATGTAACTGATATCAATTTGGAGTTATTAATGTTTGTTATAGCTAAAAACGAGTTATGATAAAAGATATTTGATATACTTTTTTAGTTGAAAATTCTTTGCCTCCTGTCATCACAATGGCCTGACAAAATAATAGTCAGTTTGAATGGGTCTACTCAATTCTTCAGAATTAGTGTAAAACATCTTTTAAAGTCGGCCTCTCTCTCTTGCTTCCTTCAAGATGATCTACTGCATTCTTTGCAGAGATTATGGATATTGCCTGTAACCTTTGTTTCTGTAGCACTTGGAGAAGATGGGAAAGGGCCAAAAGTTAATTATTTCATGCCACATAGGATGTCTACAGGCCCTCCCATTTGGGAGACTATTATTTTCTGAACAAATGGCTGTATTCAGTACTTGTAGGGACTAGTTGTTAATTTTGAAAAAACATCTGTCTCCTCTGCCATTGCCTGGGTCACAACCACCTGACTGGTAGGCTCTGTTACGAGTGTAATTAGCTAGCTGGATACATTTAGAGTGGGAAACTAGAATTGCCTCAACCACTGGTGAATTAACAGGTCTGAACATTGAGTCATGAAATGGCTGTGTGACAAGTTCTGGTTTTCCTTATTTCTTTCCTGCTTAACTTTCTTGGTATACCATCCATTTTGATGTTTGGTTCTAAATATTTTTTAAAAGATCCTAAAGTCAAAAATGTGTATTTCTGTTCCATTTGATTGTTACTCCAATTTGTACCTTTAAGTCCATTTTATTAATTATCATTTTTAATGAACATAATTCCAATACCCCACTTTTAAAATTAATTTGATGGAAGCACCTTCTGATGTATACACTAATTATGAAAACTATAGGGCTTGGATATTTGCACCTAGGCAGTTGTGCAAAGCTAACAAATTTCTCTGATCTGTACAGTCACCTTTGTGAGAATATGTTTGAATGGTGGAAACTGAATTCAGTGGAGCAGGGCAGGAAGTGTGGGATGGAGTTGGTGGGGTGGGTTTGGGGGACCCTTTCCCCAGATGTAGAATGAAGATTGAGAGAAATTTGGGAGAATTAGCAATGGAGAGCTTCCTGCTTTTGAGAGCGTCATGGCCCAGTTTCCAACCGAGAGTTGAATGGCGAGCCAAGATTCTTTCGACTGAGTTGTGAGAGGTATATTTGCATCTTGCCTCATTGCAGTTTTCTGTTCTCTCACCTGCTGGACAGAAACTAGATGGCGACAGTTCCTAACATTCAAATCCGAGCTGGTGACTCCAGTACGTGGCTTGCACCCTCTGGACTTCCATCAGTAACTAACATCTCAGGGCATGTTCCATGAATAACAATCTCACATACAGCCCCATTCAGTGGGACCTCAGCAACTCAAGGATGCCAGTTGCCCTCCATCCAACATGCCCAAGGCAAGTAAAACTAGCCATCAAAGGTGGCACTGGTGCCAGGAGTCCCAAGAGGTTCCAGCTGTGGACAGAGCTTCTGCCAATGGCGAGTGGGAGAATATATTAAGGCACTATAGGGGCATACTTGATGATTTTGGGACAATAGTGTAAGAAAACTCGCAAGTGCTCACAGAAAAGAGCTCTCCATGACCCCTGCCAAAAACTTTGGCCAATTTCTGGTAAGATTTAGCCCTGTGTCTTTCTCTCCACTGACGCTGCTGGACGCTCTGAGCTCTTCCAATACTTTGTGATTCTAAGTTCGATCTTCAACATCTGTAATACTTACATTTATTACACCAATAGTCAGCTTATTATGCAAGAAAGAGATCTGTAATTTAATCATCCATGTTTTCAGATATAATTGTTAGATGTATTACAGGTATACAATCAATTTGGACACAGGTTGAGGGAAAATAATACTGAAATTTACTGATCTCAAATAATAGGGATGGCAGACCCTGAAGATAATGTAGATGGACGTAGCCATATTTCAAGAATGGACTGACTTGGTGGCAAATTCTGTTGAATGCAGAGGAACCTAATGTAATTATTTACCTTGATATATAAAAATTGAGGTTGCAGACATAGACAACTAAAATCCTTGATTCCATACACCGCATGGAATATAAAGGAAAAAGCAGTAGAGAACTTGTAAGAGATATTAGTTGGGAAAAGTTGAAATACTCCCATGTAAGTGAGTAGAATACAGGTATTGTTCTAACCTAACTAAATTGGTTGTCTCATAGGGTTAAAGTTGGCATTCTGTATGCTTATAGGAAAATAAGACTTTCTGTTTGAATAGTGCATTTCGTGACCTCAGGTTGTCCCATGTGCTCATATTCCTGGATTGTGGCTTGAATAAACAATTTTCTAACTTGGGTACGAATACTATCATTGAGCCACAGCTAGCACTGATTTCTTTTTTAGGGATTCCATTAATGTCACTTGGGTTTTAACTAAAGTGTTTTCTTAGCTCATGAAATTTTCATACCACTGCTCGTGAACACGAGGGAGTGCAACAATAGCTCACGTCTTCCAAACTTGAGTTGTACTTGGATTATTGCTGCATTCAACATTTTGACCATTGCAGGTCTGTCTCCTGAGCTGTGAGCAATTTTAGGTGATCGGTTTCTCACCTGGCTGAACTTTTGTGGACTTAAAACCAAGTAATTGTTTCAATCTTGAACTTGCATCATTCCCAGTAGAAGCACAACTGTTCCAAAGAAAATTTACCAAAGAGCTTCAACAAGTAGAATGTAATCAAATGCCCAATGGTTCGATAAAGCCATACATACCAAAATTCAAATGAAACGATTAATTTGTACGTCTTTGTATTTCTTCGTTATTCTATCTACAATTTCTGTAGACTGGAGTGTCACGCCAATGTGCTAATGGAGTACAACTAGTTCCATAATTTCCAGTCTCTTAAATAATGGTACAACACAAAAACAGCACAACTACTTTAATACATTATCAATGTTTACAGTGCAGCAAAAGCCTTTGTCACTGCCTACAGTTCAGTTGGCTGCAGACTTCAGAAGACTAGACCTCTGAGAAAAAAATACCCCAATCAACATTATGACTGTACATTTCTCTCATGACCAAGTTGTGACATACAGTTGATTAGCTATTTTCTGCATAGCTTAAGCTGATGATCTAACCAATGCATTTTCTGGTCACCCTGTCATTTTCATATTTAATTTTCTGGCTCTATCTCATTCATCAATCATTCATATTAACGAATTCTGCAAACAGCGAGTTAAACCCAACTGTAGCTCCCCAGCTGATTTTTTTATTTTTTATTTTTATTTTTTTAAAAAAAAAGTCTTCATGGATACAGAAGATATCTATCAGTTTCTGCTTGGCGATTCTGCATTGCTGTGCATCTTGCAGGCTGCCTCGATTAGCTTGTACAGTTTTGGATTACTTATTATTTTGGTTAGACCCTTGGTATGTGACATATACCTATAATATTATTCCTGTCATTTGTTTTGTCTCCAGTACCGCCTTATTTTTAAATTTTTGTAATTATCTCTGCCTCATTTAATCAGATTATAGGCGATCCCTTCGCTTGTTAGTCATCTGTTGACACTTTACTCACACTGTCTGACACTCTTAGTCACCTGCAGAGACTTATTATTCGACACTCCACTCACAGCAGTTGTATGATCTTTTGATCGCTCTGCTTATAAATTCTGTGTCTGTGTGCCCTTCTCTCTCACTTCACCCGACGAAGGGGCTATGCTCCAAAAGCTTGATTTTTAAAATAAACCTGTTGGACTATAACCTGATGTCGTGTGATTTCTGACTTTGTCCATCCCAGTCCAACACTGGCACCTCCACATCATTGATATGTTAAACAGACGAATGCTCAGCAGCAGTGAGTAGAACATATCAGATGGCATGTAATAAAAGTTTAGTATGGGGCTGAAATTGAGAAGTAAACCTGACTTTTTATAACACAGTGGTTTGGCTGTATTCAGAATACAGTTCTGGGTGTCATAGTGCAATTGAATGGATAAGAGTATAGCAGAGCTTTCCAAATACTCTGCTTCATTTGCCCAAAAATTGTAAAACGCTAGAATAAAAGGAAAAGTTGTCATAGTCTTACCAGACATAACATAGGGATGCTCTATCATTAGAGAGAGACGACTGGTGCTTGTTTAACCTGAGGGTCACCATGCCTCAGGTCAGGGGAGAGGTTGAGAAGGAGCGTCTTTCATGGTAACCTCAGCTGGTATGCGAATAGAACCCGTCACTCTTCATTGTAAATCAGCTGTCCAGTCAACAAAGAAACCAAAATAATGGAGGGGGAGTATGGATCAGATGATTTTGTTGGACATTTTCATTCTTGCAAATTGATTATATGGTTGCTGTTGATAGACTTCTGGGCAACTCAGATTCTACTGTTCTGGGGAAGACTAAGAATATTTGGAAAATTCAGAACTAATGTGTGGAAGTAGTATTGCAGTATTGAATACACAGATCCCTAGGGAGATGTTGGAAACAGTTAGCACTGACTAATTCAAAGGCAAATTGAAGTGGTATCTTTCAGAAAACAAGGATACTTACTATATGTAAATATGGCAGGTAAGCACCCTGTGCTTGAACATATAGTTGGCAGAGCTCTCCACTGAGCTTTACTTCCATCATCCTTTATCTGCAGTAGATTGATTAATAGATTGAGGTTGCTTTTGTTATGACGATTTCTAAAGCAAAAATGAAGTATTTGTGAGATACATCGAAGACTATATTGACTGGAGTTTAGAAGAATGGGAGGTGGGGATCATATGGAAACCTGTAAAACTCTAACTGGACTAGACAGAGTAAGTGCAGGATGGAGGTTCCTGATGCCTGCGGAGTCCAGAACCAGGGGTCATAGTCTTAGGACTGAGAGAAGAAGAAATGTCTTCACCTGGAGAGTGGTAAGCCTGTAGAATTTTCTGCTATGGAGAGCAGTTGAGGCTGGAACTTTGAATGTTTTCATGAAGGAGTTAGATATACTTCTTGGGGCTAAGGGTATAAGATCATAGAATCCCTACAGTGCAGAAACAGGCCCTTCGGCCCAACAAGTCCACACCGACCCTTGGAGCATCCCACCCAGATCCATAACCCTATAACCCCCACCTAAGCTACATATCCCTGAACACTACAGGCAATTTAGCTTGGCCAATCCACCTAGCCTGCACGTCTTTGGACTGTGGGAGGAAACTGGAGCACCTAGAGGAAACCCACGCAGACAAGGGGAGAATGTGCAAACTCCACACAGACAGTCACCTGAGGTTGGGATTGAACCCAGGTCCCTGGCGCTGTGAGGCAGCAGTGCTAACCACTGAGCCACTGTGCTGCTCTGGCATCAGGAACCTCCATCCTGCACTTACTCTGTCTAGTCCAGTTAGAGTTTTACAGGTTTCCATATGATCCCCACCTCCCATTCTTCTAAACTCCAGTCGATATAGTCCTAGATGTTTCACACAAATACTTCATTTTTGTTTTAGAAATAGTCATAACAAAAGCAACCTCTATCTATTGATCAATCTACTGCAGATAAAAGATGAATATAGGAACAATGTACTGAGTTGGAAAATCATTTATAACGGTACAGTAGGCTTGATTGTCCTAATGGCCTATTCCTGCTCCTTCATTTCACTGTTTGTTTTTTTTAAAAAAGTGAGAACTTTTCTTCTTTATTTGCCTTGGCCCTTTTTTCGCATGGTATAAATCCAACTAAAAGCAGAAAGTCATTCATGATGTAAATATATCAAAGTTTAGAAGTAATGAGGCAAATCAACTGCAGTCAAAGCAGACATTAATTGAAGTGAAAATCAATTGAACAGTAAACAATTTTTATATTCCTTCAGAAATGCAAAAAAGGAATCTGAGTTGAAATTTGCTTTGGCCCGGGTGAGCGATTTGGAAACTTCCCTGAATTCCAAAGAAGCTCAGCTGGCGACAACATTAAGTGAGAAGAAGACCTTGGAGAGTGAGCTCACCGAAGTCAAAGCTCAGCTCGCAAATGTAAGCACGGCATTGCCAGCAACTTTCACCCTGACCCTCCTCAAAAACAAAATAACGGTGTTTTCTGCTTCATTTCCCTTTCAGATTAATTCAGTTGCCAGTGACGCTAAAGCACAACTCCAAGATGAAATGTTACAAAGATGTGACTTGGCAAACAGAGCACAGACGTTGCAGGAAGAGCTGGATTTCCAGAAAAGCCTCTATGAGAAGGTATGCATCCTAATCTTGAGTTATGACCATGTTCCGTCCCTTGATAGAATGAGCTTGCATTGATCAATGGCATGAGCTGTGTTTAAAGATCTTGATGCGGAGCTAAATTCCAGAGTAGCTCCGTTAGTTAGAATCTCCTCCTTCCTCTTTATGCCATGGAAGTATGATGGCCAGCCTTCTTCCTTGTCCATTTTATATTAGACATATAAAACCAGCACAAAAGTGAACATTAAGCTTTTTTTTCAACAGAAAAGACCTTTTCCAGTGCCACGTGGTTATTTTGTGCAGGTCAATGTCGCTGACTGTCTGACGAGACTTGGCCAGTCTGAGGAAACACCAGTAAAACTTTTATAAACAATGCAAGTAACAGTCTGACTCATTTGTGTCCCTTAAAATAATGTCCAGTGCGTTCATTTCCAAGTATTTTTTAACTACTTTTTCTTTCCCCTCTGGGACATACGAGAAAGTAAACTTGATTTTGTTTTTTATTATTTTGTTGTCAACATCTGTTTCTCTGTCGCCAGCATTCAGCTGTTCAAAACATCTAGTGAAGCCCCTTTCCTGAGGAGGCTTCCAGTGCCTCTAGTTGCTAGTTGGATTAATTGATTCTTGATACCCCATGCAACGCACTATAGTGGAAAAGATATTCGTATCAAATCAGAATCAAACTGCAGTATCAGTGAAGGGTGCCTTGGACTGAAGATCATGTGTGATATCGAAGATAATTCAGCAGAAATAATAAAGCCATATAAAGGAATTTAAACCAAGAAAAGGACATGGTGATAAGGATTGGTAGAGGGAGGGTGGGAGCTCAGTAACCCCAAAGAAATAAATAGGCAAGGGTCAAGATAGAGGGCAGACTCTTACCAGGTCCAAATGACACGAGCTATGGTGAGATGAATGGTACAATCGGATGAGATGTTCAGTGACTTTGAGGCCATCTTGCCTCATTTTGTTCACTTTTCTCCAGTGGCGCAGCAAGGTTCTTGCTAGGTAGCAGCCAGTTCCCAATCGACGATCATTGTTGCTTGTTAAGTATCTTACGAACAGCACGACTCTCCATGAGTTGTGACCTTGCCAAACTCTCCATACAAACTAGCCGGTTGGGGAATGCGACAAGGAAATTGGAGCAGGTTCAACTTGCCCCAGAAGACATCCATCTTCCCAACAGGCAAAGTGCTGAGCAGGGCCTGATCCACCAGCACCAGCCTCTCGTGTCCTTCCACCACAGGCGTTAGTACTCTACTTTCAGGAAGTCATCACTAGCATTCTTGGCATCCTCCATTACACTGCTGCTGTGTCGTGTGAGGGCAATTTGGTCTAGGAGGGCACACCAGCTATCAGTAGTATATGGTTGCGTGGGATATGGTTAATGGCACAGAAGCTAGAACCTATTCTGCAGCATGGATCAGGTTGGTTACCAGGGCTGCTTCCTTGCTGTCTTGACACACAGACACCCAGTGTCTATGGGATTCCATGTCTGGCACTTACAATTGGCACTGTTGCCCAACACAGTTTGTCAAGCCCATGTGTGGCCCCAGGCAGAGGTAAGGGCAGGTCTGGACTGGCACTGATACATCAGGTGGGTAATGGCCATCCTGTTATTTCCCATTTGCAGAAATTAAGGGGGCTGTGGGAGGAGGGGATCACAGAGCGGGGGCAGGGGGGGGAGGTAGACGGGTTGTCAGCACATGTACACAGGTTGGGGATGACCTGGGGAAGTGTGAATCCCTGTGGCTGTAACCGAGGTGAGTCCTTTAAATGGAGAAGCTGATGTTGGGGATCCCAGCAGCCTTTAAACGGAGGCTGAAAACCACTGGCAGAGGCCCACTTGCTGGCATTCCAACCATGAAGCAAACGGATAGCTCGTGGAGGAGAATGGCAGCAATGGTTCTGGCTGCCAGCAGGGTAAGTGGGATAACTTGTGAGGGAGGGGGCTGTGTCTGTACCCCGTCACTGGGCATTCA